TTACCATCCTATGGGGAATGGGATGACCGAGAGGTTCAACCGCACCCTACTTGGCATGTTGGGGACTCTGCCAGATCTCCAGAAGACAAATTGGAAAGACCATGTGGCACCTTTAGTACATGCATACAATTCAACGATCAACGAGTCTACCGGCTTTTCTCCTTTCTACTTAATGTTTGGACGCGAACCTCGTCTACCTGTGGATGTCGAGTTTGGATTGACCCCTCATACTACATGTTCAGGGAGATTTGTTGATAACCTTAGACAGAGGCTTAGACAAGCACATGATTTGGCTAAGAAGCATTCACGTCTAGCTGCGGACCGGAACAAGCGTTATTATGATGTAAAGAGAGAAGCGCGGTTGGAACAAGGGGACAGAGTCTTAGTTCGAAATTGTACACCGACTGGAAAACTTGATAATAAGTGGGAAYAACATGTGTATGTGATCAAAGATAAGCCGAATGAAAGTATTCCCGTTTATCGACTTGTTCGAGAGGATGGTAAGGCTAGGACAAGGATCTTGCACCGGAACCTGATTTTACCATGCCCAAATTTGGAGTCTTGTTCAGAAGATCCCTCAGGTAGGCAAGTGGTAAACAGCAAGGGAAGAAGACCAACGGGACGACGCAATGTTTCAAATAACACGGACCTTCAAGACGACTGTGGTTGGAGCCTGCGTATACAGGGCCCTACAGCAGATCAAACTTCTCTCACAGAAAGTGCTACAGGAAGGGATGTGAGTGATCGGTTGCAACAGTTTCAACCGAGCGTTCGGGGGAGTGACATGAGTCGAAGTGTGCAATCGTGGGAGCAGACTGATCTACACTCTACTGGTGCAGAGGTTGTTCAGGCCAACGGCCGCTCGTTGGCTGAAGATGTGACCGTTGGAAGATCGGATGTTCATAGTAGTCTGGATCTACCTAGGAGATCCCGTAGGACCAAACGTCCTCCAGGCTGGATGACGGGTGGGGACTTTGTTTGTTACCGCCTTTCTCAAGTAGTCTCCCCCCACCTTGTCTCAGGAGGGAAGGGTGTAGGACTGGGGTCTAATTCTTATATTCTCAAGGGATAACGGGGAGGGATATAAAAGGTAGAGCCACGTGTTCTGGAGAGAGTTCCAGATCTACCGCACTTTCAGCGTTGGATCTTGTAAGGGCAATCTAAAACGTCCCTAACGGTCTTTCCTGGTCCAGATTTTGACATAGGATAGAGCCTCAAGTGTAAGAAAATCAAAAAAATTACAGCAAGGCCCAAAATAAAGATAAAGTAGGCACAAAAACGTTTACAAAACCTTTAATACAACTTTAAAGTACGTAGAAGCAAAGTACATTTCATAGAAAGGTTTGAAGCAGTTGCGCTTCCCGAATGAACCTTACATCTCACGTGGCGACTACATATACACGACGTTATGACGTATGAATACATTAATATAATTAGCGACATTGAACTTACACCGGCCCCTAAATGTTGCGAGCTACATTTACAATATATAGAAACAAAGTTCAATSGACAATGTTAAATCGAACGTAGAAATATGTCTATAGAGATTCTAGCAAAACAATCTTGGTTATTGGACGTGTATAAACTGAGTTCTTTGTTTTCACGGTTACACTTCTGACGCAGCCATCTTGCAAGTTGCGGCGTACTTCTGTCACACGTCCTAACGGCCATGTTGATCTGGGTAGTTTATTATCGACAACTAGAACTACATCATCAACCTTGAGATTCTTTGATGATCTCAACCATTTCTGTCGTTGCTGTAATTGCGGTAGATACTCTCTTAGCCACCGGCTCCAAAATACATTGGACATGTATTGGACCTGACGCCAACGTCGGCGGGAATAATTATCTTCCTTGCAGAAGATACCAGGTGGTAAATTAGGACTTGGACGCAGTAGCAATAAATGATTTGGTGTCAAAGCCTCAGCATCTCTTGGATCGTCAGATGACTTTGTGACCGGTCTGTTGTTGATAATAGATTCGACTTCGCACATTAACG